TATATATATATATATAAACAAAACTAAATGCAGCACATTTAGTTTTGTTTTAAATAAAGTTGCTATTTTGTTCTGTTTTGGGGTCTGCTTTCAGAGTTTTTGCTTGTATTCAGGTCTTCCGTTTTTTATTTTGTCAAACTATAGCATGACTCCACACATCTACATCTTAAAATGACATCTTTCCATTAACCTTATTATTCCAGTCCTACTGTACAGGGGGGAAAGGGCAACATTTGGTTTATTTTGTTGTTCGAACATCGCTCAACATGACTCTTTTGAGCTTATTTCTTTGTGAAAGAATGAAAGAYTGCAGCTCATGTTTCAGCCTATACCTCTGACCTGCTTCAGCATTTTGTTCCTTCTCAGGCGTGGAGATCATCTGACCAGCTTCTACCCTGAAGCTGTGAAGCTGCTGAACTCTGGGGGTCTCTGTAGCCTTCCTGCTCCAGCCCTGTTGCTGTTTTATCTATGATATTTATTTGTTTACTACATTTTAGTCTTATTTTAAAATTGTTAATATTAGTTATTATTCTTACATTTTGTGGACCTTTGCAACCAGTTTTGTTCCATTTAATGAACATTTGATGTTTATGTAAAGCAAATGACAAATAAAAATCCTTGAATCCTTGAGTCATTTTGATTGTCCCAAAAATCAGGTTGAAGCTTAAAATAGATTTTTTTTTTGTGGCTCCTAAGCTTTGGAACAACATTAGACCTCACTTCCTGTTTTCAAATCTTTTTTAAAAACACATCTGTTCTCAGTGACTTTTAATCAAATGGGAGTTATTGAGCTTTATAAATAAATTTGACTTGACTTATATGTTTATGTTTACTCACATATAATATGAACTAGTTGATCAAATTGTTATATTGCATTCTACTGTTAGCATCTGGCAATAGGTGTTAAGTTTTGAAATGTGAAAATTTGTTTATTTTCATATCTGAGATAAAATGTTAAAAATAATTTAATACTAAGAGATTTATTGGTTTGTCTCCAGTAAATCACTCACAGTTCAGCCTTTCTCTCTCTCTCATAGTTTCTGCAAAAAGCAATGAGTTCCCAGAAAATGATGCATGTGGAGGTTAATAAAATCAGCTTTAGTGTCATTATGGAAATATATTTAAAGAACGATCTATACTGTTTTCACCAGCTGCTGCAGATATTCTTATCTCTGTTCTCTAACAGATTTCTGTCTCAGACCTGACCTGGATGTAAGACCAGCTGCTGGCGCACAGAGAAGAACAAGGACAGCAGTGAGATATTAAAAATGACCTCATTTATTTGCAGTTAGCAGGATAGGAGTGAAAGGCATTCTATATATCTCAAAATGCTTGGCACAGTATATTTTGGAGACTGTACACTAGTTTGTATTGTCCTTCACAAATACATACACGACTGTATCTAAAAGCAAAACCAGACATTAGATGAGTTGATATTATGTGGTTTAATTCTTGTTTAATTCCAACAAAACGTTCAGAGAAACACTTTTGTTCTGATGAGGCTGTTTGTATTGCTGTTTAAAGAGACAGTAATGTAAAACTGTAAACTACTAACAGTTTTTTTTAAATACTTTTGGTTCAGTGCACCCTGCCAGAGGTTAGCAAGCCATGCTGTTTGCAGAGCCACAGCAAAATTGTGCTTCAGTTTAGTCATAAAAAAACAGTTTCATAGTGAAAATCACACAGTGAGATCAAAGGTTCACATCCACTCCTCATGGACGGTTAATTACATTTTAATGATTTGAATTGTTCTTTTTTCTGGTACAGAGTCGATCGACTCGACGACCCGACGCATAAGTTTGAACATTTCATGAATTTTTTTCCAATCCACAAAAGGGTCAAAAATGAACATACAAGCTGAAATACACCTAAATCTTTTAGAAAGGGATGCAGAAAGCACAACATAAGGCTAATTACTTCTCATTAGAAATCATGATTGACTGCAGCTGGTACTTTCACTTTATGTCTGCATGAAAAAGGTTTGTTTGACAGCATAATACTCATGTTTGACCCTGATATTTGTTATGATGTTATGATGATGCTCAGATCAAACCTGACACAAACTAAAAGCTGTTGGAACACCAGATTATCTTCAGAGAAGAGAGTTTTCCTTCAAGCCCACATGGTCAACCCAAATGCCTTCAGGAGTAAAGTTTTATGGTCTGACAAGACAAAGAAAAAGTCTATTAATCAGAAGTATATATGAAAGGAGTCATGGTGAGGTTTTCAAACATAAAAACACTGTGTCAAGCATGGTGGTGGTAGCATCATGCTGTGCTCCTGGTGAGTGAACTTCCTATCAAATCAACACCAAAAACTGAGACAAATTCCAACAGGCAACAAAAACATATATCTGTGGATTCTGGATAAAACAAACATCTTCATATTTATGTGCCTCAATACTGAAATCGCGACACTAGAAATTTATGCTCTAAAAAATTCTAAATCAAAACTTCAATATTTTGATATTTCAGTTATTTCAGATATGTATATCATTAACAGAAACACAATGGAAAGTAACTAAACTGTTGAAATATGCTGTTGGTGGGAACTATTTTTTCTTCCGCCTGCAGTGCAATGGCACGTCAGTCACTTGTAGATGTTATATGTTCAGTATTTTCATGATACTGTATGTTCATGTAACCTAAATTCACACTCAAGTTTTCATTTTTATCGTAGTTCTTGATAATTATACAATGATTTGTTTTCATGGTTTTATTATTTTACTTCATTGTTTCATTGCGGTTATTTAAAATACACTTTTCTAGATTTTCCAGGAGTGCACAAAATATCAGTATTGTCTCAGTATTGCCAATACCAGCCTGAGCTTCTCTCAGAATCTGAAAGGAAATCTGTGCTGTRGAACATCACTAACTTCAACCAGATTTTAAAATTTGTGGATATGTTTTTGCCTTGAAACCAATGAATTTAAACGAACTCTACAAGTTCTGCCAAGGAGAGAAAACCCAAAATAAATTCAGTCTTGTACATCCAGTTCTTGTTTTAAAATCATTAAAGTTGTCAAAAGAAATGTTAAATCTACCATTAAACGCTTCAAATTATTCAGCTGAGACATGTAGTGTATTAGTACATGGAACGTAAGACGTGTCATGTATTACTGTAGTACACAAAGGGTGAGACGTGTTTGTATACAGCAGGTGAGACATGTCATGTATCAGTACATAACAGAGACGTGTCAAGTATAGTTCACAACAGGTGAGACATGTTGTGTATTAGTACACAACAAGTGCAATGTCATGTATTAGTACATGACAGGTGAGATGTGTTGTGTATTAGTACATGACAGGTGAGATGTGTTGTGTATTAGTACATGACAGGGGAGACGTGTTGTATTACTACATGACAGGTGAGAGACGTGTCGAGTATTAGTACACAACAGGGGAGATGAGTCGTGTATTAGTACACAACAGGTGAGATGAGTCATGTATTAGTACACAACAGGGGAGATGAGTCGTGTATTAGTACACAACAGGTGAGATGAGTCGTGTATTAGTACATCAGTGGCGTGAATGCGCGCGGTAGGAGTATGCGTGTTGCGTGGCGGGACTCATGATGTTCTCCGTGATGTAGGCCACCAGCAGGCAGATGATCACCAGCATCACGCAGATGGCTCCGCCCACCGTTGTCATGGCGATCACGATGTCCTGCATCCCGGACGTCGGCAGCGTGAACTCCACGCAGTCCCACGGCGGTAGCTCGGCGCCCCTCAGGTCCGGCTCGGAGCGGGTCAGGGGACGCAGACAGAACCGGTACGGGATGCTCTCGTGCAGCTCGGACAGCAGGAAGTCCCTGCAGCCCGAGCCCAGGCGCACGCTGGCGCACTCGAACTGGGTGTAGCTTCCGTTCCACCAGCAGCTCAGCTCGTAGCCTCCGCGTCTGTGGCGTCGTGCCCCGAAAAGAGGACTGGATAGMGTTGGACCGGGGCCAGGACCCGCGTCCCGGTCTCCCTCATGAGTCCACTGTAACAGTACGCTGCCATTGATGAGGACGTTTGCCACGAGAGTCCCCAAAGACACCCGGGTCCTGCAGTCCTCCTTCCGACACTTGTACCCCAAGGCTGTGCGTCTGAAACAAAGCTGACCGGAAATGCCCCCCTCGATCACTCTGTAGGCGCAGACCGGTGACACCGCTTCAACTGGACCCGGTCCAAAGCCCTCCGACACGAGAGCAGAATCACTGCCCTGGTTGTGGCCTGGTACCTGCCTCTCATCACTGCTGTTCCTCACCTCTGATGAGGCTGATGTTGATGAGGAGGAGGAGGAGGAGGAGGAAGAGGAGCAGCTTGTGCAGAGCAGGAGCACCGACAGGGCGAGCAGCGATGTCCGCTGCTGTTGTGTCATCTCCAGTCCTCTTCTGGTCGTTTTAGTCCTCACAGTGGATCAGATGATGTCTGCCATGAGATCAGCTCTRCTCTCCGGGTGAAATCCATCTGCAACAAAAACAAAAACAAAACACCACCCTGACAATAAAAACGATCCGTGCGCGTGAACGAAGGTGCGCATTAAAAGCACTCACGTCAATCAGAGTGCCATCACATTTGCTTCTCATTCCTGAATCCTGTCCGCCTTGACGTAAAGAAAAAGGCTCAGCTGTGAGTGCACGTGGAGTAGAGGGCGCGCGCGCGCCGCACAGTGCCAGTATYGCGCGTGGGAGCGCGCCCAAAATGTTACATGTCGATTCATCCTCCCACTCAGAGCTCCAGGTGAGAAGTAACCTGCAGAYGTGGAGGCTTTATCCTTATGAGGATTAAAATGAAACGGAAAAATATGTCTCTTTTTCATGTCRAACTTTATCGTTCACCAACTTGTTTTAATTCATGGCCACCTTATGAGCTATTTTAGCTAATTATGACTTTTTAAAAGGTTTATACAAATAACTCAGCTATCAGGCTCCTCTTCTTCATGTTTTAAACTGTAGATTAATCAAACAAAGCAGAAGCTGTCATATAAACATAAATGTTTTGCAAGTTTTTAATTCTTGTCTTGGTTGCCAAATTAACATATTAATAATCAACACATTAAAATATGTATTTACTTGCAGTTTATCTTATTTACCAGTCTTTTATTGTAATTTGATAGATGCATGACATTTTTGACAAAGTAGCTGCTCATAAAATGATGTAACCTGATCTACCCAGTCTGTCAATGAGTGTTAAAAGAATCTCCAACTTAAACATGTTGACCTTAATACAAAATTGACATTCAAGCTAGAGCTCACACCCGAGCACCAGTAAGCACCATTATGTTCCAAGAYGAAATAAGATGGTGACATCCATGTGATAAGATATATGTTTTAATTTATAAAAACTAAGCAGCRTACAGCACACATGTCAAACTCAAGGCCAGCGGGCCAAATGTGGCCCATCATAGCATTTTATGTAGCCCTTGAGAGCTTCAATGATAAACCAACATCTTACAATAATCCGCTTTTAAAATAATCTGCTTTAAAGCCAGCATTGATCATAAACTACAACTACCATAATGCATGTTGATTATGTTACCTGTGAAATGGCATCCTATAGTTGCACAGGGTTCAAAAGTAGCCAGCAGCTGGTGAAATTTGCAGCGTAAAATCTCCATTTTGCCACATTTTTGCAGGCTATTTTTGCTGCGGCCCAGTTGAACTGCGAAGTGGGAATTTCCCACTTACAATTTAAACTGGAATGACCCTCGAGTGGGAATTCCCTGTTGGAAAGTGGGAYAATTCAGAATTCAAGAGAGCACCACAACTCAGCAGAGAGTAAAACACTCTTACTTTCATAGTACACATAGTATTTTTCGGATTAGGAGGCTATGTTAAAATGCTGTTTCTATGCAGACAACACCACATAGAGCTCAGTCACTGTTTATTAGCGATGCTCAGTTGTAGCAATGAGATGAGGAAAGTGATGTTTCGCATTTCAATCTCTTTTTTTAAAGTTGAAATAAGTGTTTATCAAATAACATCTAATGTTCCAGCTAGTCTGAGTTCCCTTTAACTTTGCTGTTGCCATAAAATAAGTTTAGTTAATAAATATTCTAATCCAAAATCTCCATTTCCCCCTCTATTAACAATGATTAACTGAGGACGATGCTAAATCGCTGTGCAAGACAGACAAACACAGAAAACAAAACTTCATAATCTTTAATCTTAATCTTTACATACATCTCCTGAGCAGATCATATTGTTCCATGATACTACTGGGATTCCCCAGGAGGAAAAGTTGAAAATAATTAGCATCAAGGGAGATGACTTATTAAAAGCATAAAACATGCTGAATTTGTGTGCGAGTTATGCTTCAGCTGTCATGGAAAAGTTTTGCAGGTTGACTGATTAAATCTGTGTAATCAATGACTGACTGCATACACCACTTGTTATTAATTATCCTGCTCACTGACATGTAAAAGGATGTAAACAAATTAAAATCAACATGTATTAACCCCTGACTGATTATTCACTTTTAAACAATAGAGGTGAAGATGTGTAGATGTAGCAGCTGACACAAGACGAAAACAAGGAAAGTGATGACTTGTTGGGTTTAATGGACTGTGAGTCTGGTCAGCAGATGTCTGTTCATGTGTGATGAATCTCTTCATTTGTCTGTATGTGCACATATAAAACACCATGAGGAACAGACAGAGGTGGGGTTTTTTTTCCAGTGTCGTCCTCCAGCATTCATGTGTGTCCTAAAGAAAACAGAGGTTGTCCTGCAGAGGATGGTGCCATGTCAGAGGTTCACACTGTCGACGCTGTTTTATTTGGGTTACTGGTCTTTTCTGGTATTCTGGGAAACATGTTGGTCATCCATGTGGTGAGGAAACCCTTCGTTGTTTARTTGGTCAAGYAATAGTCTGATCATTTTTGAAAAGTTATCAACAGTTAGTACCTCAATAGCTCTGATGTCAGTCATTCACTGTGTCTGAATTCAGGGGCAGCAGCCCATGTATTTGTAGGCCGGTTACATCACTGCATTGTGCTGAAGGCTGTATCGCTTTGTGGACTCCAACACTTTATTTGAAGGGGTGTAAGACTGTCATAACGCTGTCATAAATGTGACATAACACCTGTCATGAACTTAAATGAGTCCTTGTGAATATTTATGGTTGAAATGTAGAGAAACCCTCATGAAATCATGAATATGACTTTAATTAAGATTGTCCCTCCCGGTTCGAGATGGTCTCTGTTGAACAAAACAATTCAACCACCAAAATACACACAGAAAACACACAAAGTCGTTCTTTTATTTTGGCCAGTTAAAAAGTAACTGACTTTTATTAAAGGAAAAGAATATTGAATGATTAACGAGTGGTTACAATGGTTTGAACAATAAATGAGCTCTCAATATAACACAATTGGTTTTTACTATTAAGCAGTTTAACTAATTAATTAAGCAGTTTGTCTAACATTTTTAACTAAGCAAAAGCAGGTTATTTTATATACATTAAGGGTCAGTGAGTGTGTGTGTGTGTGTGTGTGTGTGCGTGCGTGCGTGCGTGCGTGCGTGCGTGTGTGTGTGTGTGT